TTGTTCTACATATTGTTTTCTGTCTCTTCAACCTTTCTTCTGCATATAAAGTGCTTTGTAACGTGTGTTTGGACAGTGTCACTGTTTCGAAATAATAAGATTATCCTTCAAAGTTTATGGACAGCTGGAGCAGATACACAAATAAATCACCAGAATTAGGTAATTTATGTTATTTTAATTTTATGCTTTATCATGATTGTTAAATAAAGGTTTGGGACACGTATTTATATAGATAGAAAACAAATTTTATTAGCTTTAAATCCTGGAGATTATGCACAAAAATGATTTTAAGCAATGAAGTGAGAGTTAAAAGCAGAGATGTGATATCAAGCTTCAAACTTCACAAACATCTGCGTTTTAATTAACATTTTCCGCCACAGCTCACCCATTAGTTTACTGGCCAACAATCTCAGACAGTTTATTTTCTGCCTGTTGTGGCTTTTTTTCCATGGTGTTTGTTGTTGTAATTCTCATTTTAGCCACAAGAGGCTGAAGCACTCCACTACTGCATGCTCTAAATCAGGAGGTGCCCCAGACTTTTTACCCTCAGGGGGCCCAAACTTAAACTTAATGGTGGGTGATGGGCTAAAAACACCTATTGTTTTGTTAAAATGTAAAATGGTACCAAGAACTGCCCGCTGTGCTCAGATTATGTAAAATAATGAGCATTCCTACATATTTAATAAGCATTTTGTGCCTTACAATAAAGCAGCACTGCTCTAAAATCAAATAATTCGTCTCAGTGCAGATTAAAATACATTTCCAGCATCTTACATAACTTGCTAACCTACCATACCTTGTGTTTAGAGTGGATGGAGACGTTAAAACTCACCTGTTCGGTCATATAACATGGGGTTTAGTGGTGTACATGAAATGAGTAATACAACAAAAAAACAAGAAAGATGATCCTGGAAAGAAAACACAATTTAGATCAGAAAATGGGTCACCAAAGATGTTGTTTTTTAGCTAGTTGTTCAGCTATATTCTGTTGTGGTTCACTTTCACAGCTCTTAATTGTGTTGTTTTCAGCCACAGCAGGCAGTTTTGTTTTTCAGCTCTAAAAATGGCAGAGTTAGCAACACGCTGCTAAACACAGTGGAGCATTTAGCAGCTAAAGAGGCAGATATTCCCCCTCGGGTGTTGGTGGAGACCAAAAACAGAGCTAAAAGAGTTTCCACTTGCCCTAAAGTGGCCTAAAAAATCAGTTAATGCAGCTTTATGTTTCCAGTCCAAAGGTGTCAATCTGAGCATGTCGTCCTTTTGTGGTTCATGTTGTCTGTTGTCAACCAAAAATGAAGACTTTGAAGGCTCTGCTGTTAGGAAACACAACCAGTCTTGTTGGAACCAATTACAGATCCTAACACTTTTCTTTGAGATTTTCAGCATGTTTATTTATAAATCATTATACCAGCACAATAAAAAATCAGCTGGCTCAATACAAAAAAATGTGTGTGAGGAGCCAAACAAACACTTACTGGAGGCGTCAGGTTTTTTTTATTTTTTTGCACAGAGCTCGATAATGATGTGTTTCCAACTTTTGACTTCCCACGTCTGCCAATGAACGACGGCAACATCAATCCCACCCTAATATGTTTGCTTTGAGGAGAACGATTAAGGAAATTGTTCTTACAGTTTCTTCACCTTTAGTGTAAAACTTAAAGCTAGTTAGAGCCTATCTTTGAGTCAATAATATGGTTCCTGTATCGGCTTTTCACTGATAAATATATACAGAATATTTTATAGTGAGCAGAGGTAGTTTCAGGTATCTGTATTCATTTTTCTTTATCTTTAACTCCCTAAATTTTTACACAAATATCTGTACTTTCTGTACAGGCTTTAGTTTTAATGCACAATTATTGACTATTATTACTATTATTTTGCATCATTGCACGTCTTCCCAACATCAAGACCGGTGCATTTCACACACAACAGGCGTAAAAAGACGAAAACTAGAGACTAAACTAGTTAGTTTTGCACAGAAACTGCCAGTAGAAATGTCCTTCAGAGAAGAGAATACTTCTTTACTTTTACTTGAGTAAAGAATGTGTGTTCTTTTGCCACCTCTGATAATATGTGTTTGTGTAATAATAGTGTTATAAACAACATACTGAATCTTTTCACTCACTAAAATATTGACCAATCTGTATTCATCCACCGTTTCACACAGAAGTGTAATTTCGCCTCAGTTTCTCCTCCTTTTAAGTGCAAACTGCAGCATAAATGAGATAATTGTTAATTGCTGAACATCCATCTCTCGTCTGGTTCAGTCACACGAGGGAATTTGTGTGTGGGATTTGGGGAAGTTGCCTGGTGCTGTTACTCTAATTGTAGTCTTCCTATAGCTGGTGGTCTGCTTATTGATTTAGAGACAGACCAAAACTTTACTGTCAGCAGATTCTGGCTGACATAACACCGTAAAGTACAATATTTTTTACCTCCTGTTAATCACGTGTCTTGCACTATTAATATACACCAAGCCATAGAAAACAGACACCTACAGTAAAGTTTGTAAAAAACTGATAACAGAAACTTTCTTTTTGGACAAGTCAGACGAAATTACGAGATATTTTATGTCAAACAATAAAGTAATACATTGGGAAAAAAAAAACATTCTAGCAAAACTGACCCTGGAATAAGACACCAAGGTGCTCTAACATTAAAAACAGTTACCATAAAAGGCCATAATAAAGCTATTAATGCATTATTTGACCTCGGAAAACAGCTTATAGGTTTATAGACACGCCTGTAAAACCCACAACAAAGGCAGCACACACAAGAAACGATCATAATAAGGTTATTTTATGTAAATTTTTACATTATTTGATATAAGAATTGTCTGTTTTAACAGTTGTCCACTTCTTTTTACTTGAGTTTGACTTTTTTGAGGCAGATTCTGATCAAAAACACCAAATTCTTACACCAGGCTGCAGGAAACTTTCCAGAAACGTGTGTAATTGTAGACAAACAAACACTTAATAAACTGTATGCATTTATAACTGGAATCGAAAAAGCATGTGTCAATAGTGTCAATAACTCACTAAACTAACTAAATCATCCACTGTTGTTTTGTCTTCGTTGTTGTTTTTTATATGTATATTCATCCTGTATGTATTCTTTCATAAACATAATAGTTTTCTATTTATCTTTGTTGAGTTTTGGCGTCCTTGTTTCTTTTCTTCCTGCTATGTGCAACACTGAGAGAGTCAAATTCCTTGTTTGTGCACACATACTTGACCAATAAACTGAGTCAGATTGGTTTCTTCACTCTACTGCACCATTGTAAAAACAAACAAAAAACCCCAAAAAACCAAAATGTCCTCTCCCTCTCCCCTCTTTCTCTCCTCTCCCTCTCTCCCTCTCCCCTAATCCCACTCAAGTCCACTTCTGCTAGTTTTGGGCAAAAAAAAACCTCCAATTAAATCGATTCTAGCGGACTTTGATCTACTTCCTTCAGATTGTGCCGAGATTTCAAAGCACGAGACACACACACACACACACACACACACACCACACACACACAGAAAGGCTCGCTCCCCTCAACAGCAGAGTGAACACACTTGCCTTCGCCTCCTTCTCCTCCGTCTTCTGGCTCATTTAATCTCCCATCCATGGAGAGGTTACATTAGAATAATCCCACCAGATGGAGAAGCAGGTAGAAAGAGAAAAAGGTAATACGGAAAGACGATTGTTCGCCTATTCATCATAATACCTTCATCTTTCTTCTTTCTCTCCTCATTTGAGTTTTCTCTTCTTCTCCTCCATCTGAGGATTTTTCCCACTTTTAAGAGAGAGAGTGGAAGGGAAATTCCCCCATATAACGACCTCTGCCAACAAACAACAGCACAGCAGCACTGGCAGGTGAAGAAACACATTTTTTGACAGAGTAATAAGGGAAAATAACAATATTTAAAAGTGTGTTTAGTTTTTTAGGTATTTTAGTAACTTTTGTCATATAAAGCGGTTAAAGGCCAGCCAGTCAATGTTTTGAATAGAATATGCAGGTAAACACATAAAGGGGACAAGTTTCTTAATATGTTCATAGTTACAGGTTATTCTTTTAGGGAGGGTGACCTAAAATAAAACAAAAAAGGACTATTGCGCTTGTACACCCATAAAAATAACATATTCACATTAAAATATTAAGAGGTTACTGCAGTGCTGAGACTGCCACAACTGCTTTGAAAACACTTGTGTACTTGGACCAGATATTGCAAACTGTATTTTTGTATGTACAGAAAATGTCCTATATCCTGAACATAATACAACATAATTTATGTTAATGTAACCTTTTCATGGCACAAGCAGGCTGCTAGTGTCCTCGTTAAGTACATTTACTCCCAAAAAGTACTTGGAGAACTTTACTTAGTATTTAACAAATTTAATAGGTAACTTTCTACATCTCAGAGGCAAATAATTGTACAATTTTAACCCCCACTTCATTTGTCGAACAGCTGAGTATTTATTTGAGTATGCGTGGGTACAGCAGCCAGCGTTGATGATAGCAGGAGACATTTATAAACATAAATGTACAGATTATTAGTTTAACAGAGTCAATAAAAGATTTTAAAGCAATTTGCCGCCGATTGATCTCGTTCCTCTCTCTGTTTGTGACCTCAGGTCGCGCTGAGTCTTCATCAAAGCTGTAAGTTAATTTTACACCTTTTACATACAACAACACACACACACACCACACCACACACTCTGAATGTTAGACATGTCCAGTGTTGTTTGACCTTTTCATGATGTTTTCTTTTAACGTAGAGCGACTGACTCTTCAGCATACACAGTGGATTTAATGTGTGTGCTGTGTGTGTTGGTTACAGATCAGAGGAGTGTGTGCCAGAAGACGACAAATGCAGTGAGTCAATTCATAGATACTCACTGCACACATGTACTGTCATAATATATATATATATATCATATATACGTTACTATTATACAATAGATTTATAAACATGAATAACATTTGTGCCTGTGTGTTTGTGTGTATGTAGGAACTATGGAGGTGTGTATGTGGGTTTTCCTGCAGACCTGAGCAACATTCCTCAAGTACAGATAGGATCACTCAGAGGTAGCACACATACTCACACACACACTCA